AAAATTTTCAGTGCTTGCGTTATGATAAATGAAGATGCACTACCATAGTTTGTGCTGAAGCGTTTGAGCACGCAACTGATACTGATCTGCGAGAGATCGAAACCGGTTTAAGATAAATAAATAACCGTGCTCGATCAAATCATGGGTACAGCCAGATTGCTGCAAATAGTAATATTTTTTCGACTGCATTGCTTGCTTTTTTTTACCCCATGTGAATAGAATATTCCGGGTCAAAGCTTTCATCAATATTTTAATCTGTCCATCTCTCTACCATTTTCCATTTGACCTTTGCCCACTGTCTACGCAACATTGCACGAATCTGGTGGGGCAGCCGAACGACCAATGTTAAGGTTAGGCGCAGAGTTTCAGGTAATCGCGGNCGCCCACTGGAGCAAGTGGTCGACCTCCATATATTACGTTGGTTGGGACATGTGTTACGCATGTCACGAAATAGTTTCCCACGGCGCGCAATGTTTACCGAGACCTGCAGTGGGTGGAAGAAAGGCAAGGGTGGTCAAGCTAAGACCTAGCATGAGGGTATGAAAATCCTAACCGGGAGTCTGGGTCCCGTAGGTCCCGTTAGGCTCCCTGGATGGGGACCTCGGGATGTTCGTAACCGGTAGTTAGGGACACTGAGTAATATGGCTGTGTCGTAAACAGTGGTGTCCGTGTATCTTCTCAATTTCTTTGCAACATTAGTCCAAGGATATTCTCCATTTTCTATTCGACTTTATTTTCAACTTTCCTGTCTTTCTCAGGCTGTTCATCCAAATGGGCAGCCAAAAGACAGCAACCAGAACTGGAGCACGAAAGTGCGTAGTTAATGGTTGTACAAACTGAAACTGAACTTTGCCCTCTCAGCTCCCCCCCCTCAACTGTGGCGTTGACTACCATTGGCCTTGTCACATTCATTTGCTCTGCTGGTTCGCCTCTGTCATTGTTATAAACAGCTGTAATCGGCCAATCAGATATCTGTACTATTGTTGTGAGATACTACTCACTTGTGAGTAGTAGCTAACTTTTAATGATAAAAAATATAACAAGACCACCGAGGGCCAAGTGATGTGTTTGAAGGAATAAATACCGACTATCCTATGCATTATTCGATGTGCCGCCAGGAACGGCGATGGTATGTTTCTGATGAGATGTTTTGTGTTATGTATGGCAAATTGATGATACCCCATTTGAAATTCTCAGTAGATGACTCTCCTCGATCATCACCGCCTTTTGGATTTATAACACTATGGTCACCTTGATGCAATATATCGAAAATAAACTTCTTCGCGATCACGGTTTTCTACATTGTCTCTGGGAATATTCTACGAAATACAAAGATATCACGGCCATACCAGGCATGTAGTCAGTTCCTTAAAATTGTATTTCCCCCTCCTTTAGCATTCATTTTATGGTTTCTGTACGTTCTGGTTCGGGAATCTGAGGGCTTGTGCGTGTGTAACGTGTTGCAAGGGCAACTTTCGGCAACGAACAACACTACTTGTAACTAGTTACTGGTAATTCTAATTTGGTTCCAAGCAAAAAAACAATGGTTAAACTACCACAGTATTAGGTGGTCCAAAAGACCGATAGCTCTTTGTTGATGTTCAATGAAGTATTATACCGCATCTCGAACGGGAAGGGATAGGAACATAAAATATGCTGTTTCTCATGGATTTCCCACGAAAAACGAACCCCGTTAGTTATGGTAAACAGAAACCGCCGTCTCCCTCCTCCTCCTCACGGTTTCATTGGGTAGTCAAAGCATTGTGAATTGTGTGAAAGATTGATTATTCAGTTATCTTGTTTCTCCACGCAGTGAATAATTGTTTATTTGGTCGATCTTGGCGCATTGGTTCAAATGAAAAATGTATACTGCTGGTCCTCTGACGACTGAATAAAAGGGACGGTGTTCGCCATGATTCTCTCTCCGCCCCTTCTTCTTCTTCTCACTCGCTGTCAGTGTATCCATTTAACCTTGCTATGCAAAATACCAGTTCCCGTCGTTCAAACGCTAGCCTATACACGGGATGTTTACTCAGGTTACCATGGTGATCATTGTGTTCGATTATGTGCTCCGCTCGTCCGGAAACATGTATTTTTGCTCTGACTAATTGGAACTCGCGTGATACAATGCAGTTAGTTAGGTCAAGGAAGGTTGGATGAAATGGGTGGGAGTAGACTGTGTGAGGCATTTTCGGAGTTCGGTAGGAGATCAGAGCGTGATTTGTCTCAAATCTCAATTGCCAGACAGTGAACGTCCATTCGAGTGCTTCGCATCCCGAGACACCCCTATTTTCACTCATACCTAAATGCAAACATGTGGAATAAAGAAGCAATAATTGGAAAACTTGAGAAGGTCGCGTATTCCAGAAACAGTCAGACAGAGTGAAAGTTTGTGAGGGACAGCTCGAGTCAAATGATCGTGTGTCACGTTGGAAGGAATAACCGGCGAAGACAACCAAGTTTAAAATATCTGGTAGGTTTACTGGTGCGGTTAAAAATCACGACGATATCAAATACTTTTTATCAGCATGAAAGAGGACAAAGGAACATTATAGTATAAGTCAACATTCAACGAATTCCTCATCAGTTGATCACGTGATCCTCAGTTTTTCTTTGCCTTCAGCCTTCGAAACGGTAGAACGAGAAAAGAGGTTAGTGAAGAGAAACCTCTGCCTGGATGTGATAAGAGCGTGTGAAGAACGCTTTCTTCTCACTCGCAATCTGGCCAGTACAGAAAATTTGGCCATTGATATTTTGAAAAACAGTATGCAGTTCGTTTTTAAGCCTTTGGATAAATAACGGCAAAACATCTATCTGTTCCTGCAGCAACCAAAAACCAGCGAACAAAACAGCATGGTTAATGGTTTTACAAACTGAAACTTAAACATGCGGTTGGTGAGAGAAGCGTTGAAATTCGGCGATCACAGTTGGACAGTTAGACGCCTAATAAGAAAGAACTTACCGTGGTTACGATTGCTTACAGACAATCACATGGATCTTATTCCTCAATAGCTGACACATTCTAACTCGTAAAGTATGCCGAGAAAACAAAAAATGATAGCTAGTACGTTTCAATCAGAATCACCGTAATGATAAATCTATATCAAATCGGGTTCGTATACAAAATGATGGAGTCGCTGGAAAATATCTTATTAAATGCGTATAGTTAACTGTAAGAGGGAAAAAGATTAATCAGATATAACAGATGTGTGATACGAGTGAATGAAACTCGAACAGAGATCAAGTAAATAAAAATCTCACAAAAAGTAATGAATTATACAGTTCAGTTGATTCGAAAATTCCGTTCCAACCCTCCCTTCATAATACTCCTTCATCTCTATTTTTCGTTCATCCAGGTTGGACCCTTAACACCAGCTCCTTCGAATAGTGCATCACCATCAGTAGCATCGCCGGTTCATCAGCCTGTGAATCGCACGAATAACCGAAACTCGTTTGATTTCACCTCTGCGCCTGAACCTATCCTTGTCCGTGAGAGTGCGTTTACACCTAAATCTACCGGAAGGCCATCGGTGTCCAATGCCCGATCCCTAATGAACTCACACGAACTACGTCGGCAGATTCAGATCGCGTGCAGTATTGATTTGAACCCGACAGCGGGACAAAAACACACGCTGGATCATCACGGAGAGACGATAAAAATTGAGGAACTAGATGAAACAGAGGAGGGGATCTCATCAGTTAGTAGAAATGATGAACCGGTACATCTCGCGGGCAATTCACCTTCGCGAAACGGACAGGAAAACGATCCGGTAGTGGTGACTAAAATGACACCGTCAGCGGATCGATGTGTATCGGTTATATCGGTGAAGGACGAAACTGCACTAAATCCGTTCGGGGAGCACGGAGAGCGATCCGAAACTGTGGAACCTCAAACAACCCAAACTAGTCTGGACAGTGTGCATGAAGAGTGCCATAAAACAAAAACTGGTATTATCCCACCCATGGTTGATACACTATATGGCAAAAAGAAGCAATCAATATCTAGTATAGTAAGTTTGGATTATATCATCCTTGCGCTTTCAATGCAATATATATATATATATATATATATATTACCAGTCTGGATTCAGAATGCGTTGTAACAGACGCTTAATCGTGCAGTTTATGTGAAATGCTCTGCATATGTTCCTGAACGAGCAACATACCACATGCTAGGTAGTCTTTCTTTCAGCTGCATCCCAATCACCGACAAGTTTTTTAAATCTTCAAAATATAGAATGCTTTTTGGTTTGGGGTTTTCAGAAGCCTCCCTCACCGCTCATTATTTTGATTATACATACACATTTCGACAGTGGGTGGATAGGAAATGGCAGTTTTGAGTAAATTTTATCATTGATTCATCAAACTCATCTTACTTTCATTCGTCCCATCCAGGCACTCATTCGGATGCGAATGGATTGTAAACGATTCCGATGGATCAAACAATTCACAAAATACACTCCGTAGATTTTTGGAATATCTTGGCTCTTGCACACACAATCATCACTATTTTGGGAATCTAAACGCTAGCAGAATAAAATGCCAAAATACGAAGTTTCATCAAATTATCTCTATTTAAACGAAATTATATCGAAAACATCAGCGAAACAGGTATTTCATCCCTCACGATGGTCTCTGTAATTTGAAGCCATTTTAATGCGGGGTGTATTGGTCATTGCGTCCCAAAACTTCCACATAGCTACTTGGCATGCTCTTTTGGAGATGTCCCCGTCCTTCATTTAACTCTCTAATCAAATATGACTCTTATTTTCTTTTTGTTGTAAATGTTTGTCTTACGGGTGAGAACGACCCAAATATTTTCTGTTGGGTTCAAGTCTGGGTTGGCCGCAGACTGCTCTATTGTTTTATTTCCCAGACATAACCAGTATTATGCTAGATACGAGTTATGAACTGTGGCATTATTATGCGGGGAAATAACTTCAGGCTGGCCATGAGATGTCATTGATGGCATAAGGTGCCATTCCCATTTAGGAATATATGCATAAGAATCTTGCATCCCACGTAGCATAGTGAGTTCGGTGTCAATAAGCGTTTAACCGGTAAAGTCAACTAACCCAAAGCTATGTTGTTGATAAATCCGAAGTCTCCTTTTCACTTGACCGCACTCAACGTCCGCATACTCTATCAAATCGGTCAACAAGCTGTCTTAGCTAGGACCCTTGAATCATTCAATTTGGGCGCATATTGTGTCTCCAAAACATGCATACGAGACCGTACTTCTATTATCACCTTGCGATCTCCAGATCCGACCTCATCATCACCCTTCACTCTTCGTGTATCACGTGGTTTGGCATCTGAAGCTCGCGGTGTTGCTGGTCTTGGAATGCACTAATTGCCAAGGCTGAGCGCTCGCTTCGTGACTGGATTCCAATAGCCGACTGTGTTTTAGGCCTCGACGGTTGAGTACACGTCAACAGCTACAGAAGGAAGCGTCGTTGCTTATTTTTGTCTGTGTATGCACCAAACAAATCAAGGATGAATTCTACAACGATCTTTCTCAACTGCTCCAAATAGTTCGGTCAGAGGACATCACAGTATTAACAGGAAACTTAAATGCTCAAGTTGGATACCTGGAAGAGCCAGAAAGGTGCCTAGGCGGCGCACACGCAATCTCAGCCAACCGAAGGGACAACGGAGATCGCCTACTTCAACTCTGCGTGGACCACAGATTGTTCCTACCGAACAACAAATTCTCCCATAAGAAAAAACATCGCCTCACATAAAAAAACCCTAGCTCTTCACAGGTGGTTTCAAATCGACCACATCACCATCGGCTATTAGTGGCGAGGGTCCGCTGTCACTGGTCAACACCCGTGGAAACGGATCACGCTTTATTGAGGAAATTAACCTGTCTAAGCCAGGACAAAAGAAAAACCCAAAACACAAGGCGTTGGTGACAACGTTTCGACCCTCTTGGAAGGCCTTTATCAAGTCGTTTATTGGATTAATCTCATGTTACAAGCAATTATAAGACGATGGGATCACGCTTTGTTATCAGCCAGATTTTCCATACGCTTGGTAAAGAAACAAAATATCCCACCAAGAACGGATGCTCACAATACAATACCAGCAGTAGTTGGAAATCGCCATTCGAAGCGAGGCTATCCGATCGCCTTTCAGGTCAACCATTAGCCGAAGGACTCAGTGAACATTGGATAATAATCGAAGAAGCGATCCAACTGCCAATCAAAACAAAGGTAAATTCTGACGCACGATCAAAAAAAGCGATGGACCTTTGCTGCTTTACTGGACGCCCACAGAACCCTTCCTTCTGATGTCACATATGAGTCTGAGAAATGATCTCTAGAACTGGTGTGTAGGGAAGTGTAGAGAGATGGAAAGGGCTCCGGCTATCAGTAATAGTTGCCAACCTTCTAGCTTAACTAGGAGTACGGGCCCAAGGAAAGTCAAAGAGACTGATGACACACTGATTAATATTCAGCAAAGCCGTCGTGAACGATGGGTTGGACATTTCGAGGCTCAGTTCAAATGGCCTTATCGATATTGCGCCTGTCAACTCCTATATCAGATGGGGATCTACTGACAGTTGATATCAATTCTTCATCTGAAGTGGAGGTTTCTAGAGAAAGGGATAAGGCTTTCGGCATAGACGGGCTGTCTTCATCGGCTTTTAAGGATGGAGGTTTAGCATTGGTTTTGTAGTTGACGAAACTCTTGGGCTCGGTATGGGAGATGGAACAGATTCCAACTGAATGATGCCAATCGGCCAGCTTCCCAATCTACAAGAAAGGCGACAAATCTTATTGTGAAAGCCACAAAAGGATTAGTTTAATCATCATCGTATCTAAACTTCTCGCTGGTGTCACACTGTCGATTGTCTGCGCACATGAACAGTGCACAAGTGAAAACCAGGCTGTTTTTGGATCTGGTCGAGGTTGTATAGATCACATTTTCATTCTTCGCCAAATTATAGAATACATTCATTTCGCAGACCTGTTCTTTATGTATTTCTCGATTTGAAAGCGGTTTTCGACTCAGCTGACCGCTCCAAGCTCAGGAGTTGCCTCCCTTTGAAAGATGTGCCCGAGAAGTTACTTTCAATTCTGCGGTCTCTATACTAATCACCAAAGTCGAGTCCGAGCTTACGGCACTTTTTCGCCCGAAAGTCGTGTTCGTGAGGGTTGTATGTTTGATTATACTTTGTTATATTTATGACTCTGGAAACAACCCTGTCCTCTTGCGAGCGCCGATTTGCTCCCCGGTGGCAGAACTGGAGTATGATAATGACACTGTACTGCTAAATGAAGATCCAGATAAACTGCAAAGTCAAAGTCAAAGTTTTATTATGGGAATAGCTTACAAGCTGGTGCTTCTCTTGT